AGGGGCGGCGCTACCGGACCACCCCGGCAGCACTCCAGTTGCTCTGCTGCAGGCGTCCCCGATTCAGCTGCTGCTGAAACTGACCAGCAGCGGCTGAATGGGGGATGCCTGGGGCAGAGCCGGACTATCAGAAGGGGGAGCTATGAGGGGTCTGGGGTGACATCCTCCCCACACTACCCTAGACCCCTCATAGCCCCCCCTTCTGATAGTCTGGCATATTTGATAATCCGGCACCCCCTGGGTCCTAAAGGTGCCAGATTATCGGAAGTTTACTGTACAGACCAGTCAGCTTAACTTCTGTTCCAGGAAAGATAATGGAGCAAGTAATTAAGTAATTTATCTGCAAACATCTGGAAAATAATAAGGTGGTAGGCAACAGCCAGAATGAACAAATAATGTCAAACCAATCTGATAGCTTTCTTTAAGGGGAAAGCAGTATATGTGGTATACCTAGACTTTAGTAAAGCATTTGATATAGTCTCATATGACCTTCTTATCAATAAACTAAAGATATGTAACCTAGATGGGGCTACTATAAGGTGGGTGCATAACTGACTGGATAACCATTCTCAGATAATAGTTATTAATGGTTCAAGTCATTCTGGAAGGGCATAACAAATGGGGTTCCACAGGGTTCCGTTTTTGGGACCAGTCCTGTTCAATATCTTCCTCAACAAAGTAGATATTGGTGCTGAAAATACACTTATTTGCAGATGATACCAAGCTGAGAAGAGTTGCAAGTGCTTTGGCGAATAAGATCATAATTCAAAATGATCTGAACAAACTGGAGAAATGGTCTGAGGTAAATAGGATGAAGTTAAAGAAGGAGAAATGAAAAGTACTCCACTTAGGAAGGAACAATAAATTTCACACTTACAGAATGGGAAGGGATTTAGGGGTCATAGTGGGTCACAAAGACAAGAGTTAACCAGTGCAACACTGTTACAAAAAAAGCAAACATGATTCTGGGATGCATTAACAAGAGTGTTAATGAGCAAGACACAAGAAGTCATTCTTCTGCTCTACTTTGCACTGATTAGGCCTCAGTTGGAATATTGTGTCCAGTTCTGGGCACCACATTTCAAGAAAGATGAGGAGAAATTGGAGAAGGTCCAAAGCAGAGCAACAAAAATGATTAAAGGTTCAGAAAACATGACCTATGAGGGAAGACTGAAAGAACTGGACTTCAGTTTAGAAAAGAGAAGACTGAGAGGGGGCATGATAGTGATTTTCAAGTATCTAAAAGGGTGTTAACAAAGATAAGGGGGGGAAATTGTTCTCTTTGGCCTTTGATGGTAGGACAAGAAGCAATGGGCTTAAATTGCAGCAAGTGAGGTTTAGGTTGGACATTAGGAAAAACTTCCTAACTGTCAGGGTGGTTAAACACTGGAATAAATTGCCTAGGATTGTTGTAGAATCTCTATCACTGGAGATATTTAAGAGCAGGTTGGATAGACATCTATCAGGGATGATGTAGATAGTGCTTGGTCCTGCTGTGAAGGCAGGGGATTGGGCTTGATGACCTCTTGAGGTCCCTTCCAGTTCTAGTATTCTATGATTCTATCCCATAGTTAGTAAATTTTATTTCAAGTACAGCAAAGTCAAGTACAATTAAAAACTATCCTTTAAGACTGTAAAATATATACACTATCCTTAATTATCAAACAGGGTATTTCTATATGAGGAAATGATTTTATTCTAGTTATTATTCAGATTTCTTCACTATCAAACTTGCCTTATGCTTCTTCAGGGCATGGCGCAGAGAGGTGACCACATCTGTCTCCTGCACTCCTCGTACCTTAAAGTTTTTTGTCCAGGAATGCAGCACACCCTTTAAAAATAAGGTTTTGCATTAAGAAATACAGAGTACATTTTATCTATGGCTTTTGGAGAATTTCACAGCCACTATTTCATGTGTAAGAAGTTGAGCAGAAGTAGTGAAATCACACATTGGTGATCAATAGCACTGAGGTTTGGAGGAAAAGTCATTTCACGCAAGCAGAAAGTTTCAGCCTTGTCATGGATAACCGTCACCCAAAACCTATAGAAGTGGTCCAAAATAAGCCTCTGATCTTGATAACAGTTAGGCACATGCTTTGCTTTAAGCATGGATAATCCTATGGACTTTAGTGGGCCTACTCACATACTTCAAGTGAGGCACGTGCATAGCCTTTGCAGTGTCTGGGCTTAATATAATAACTTTTATTAATGTAAGAGAGGTGGCAAAAAAACAGGCAATCAAATAATGGCAGTCATTGCAGCTTCTGCTCCTACCCACCAATGCTATCTGATTATTTCAACCCCTGTATTTCAAATCTATTCTAAATATACCAAACAATAGGCATTAAAATATAAACCTGCTTTAGAGCACAGAAATGCAATGTCTTTTGAAATCCACACAGTGTTTTCTATCAGCTGAGTAGCTTACTTATATCTTGTATTGACACATAAAGGAAGAGCTTTAGCTTACAGCTCCAGTTGCACTGAAATATAACTAATCTTTGAGATGGACTTCGGCATGTAAGTGTGATTCTCTCCACTTTCTCTTGTAGGTTTATAACACTATGCAAAGCATAAAGGGAGATATGAAACTTGATTGAACTATGGAGATTGAATATTTTACTTCCTCAGTAAAGAAAGGAAAAACAATCCTTTCAAATATTCTCTGTATTCTGCTGCTGCTACAGTGTAGCTACCAATAATTTTTTTGTTAATCTTACCTCTTCTAATTTAGTCTGTATGCAAGGAAAAGAAAATGTAAAGCCAAGAGGGAATTTCTTATGTTTTATGTTTTTAGTCTCCATGAAATCCGCCAGACAGTCAACGACATACTCAAATAGCTGTACGAAAGAGAAAACAGGACAGGTCAAGAGCTTCATTACATTCCACACAGACAGCTATTCCACAGAGGAAAGTGTGCCACATACTTCTGTTCCATTCCCATGTGTGATCTCTTTGGGAGTTGGGTAGAACTGGCTCTCCATTTGAACTGTCTGCTTCCCATCTTCAGACACATTCACTTTCAAGACTCGAAACCTGGAGCCCCCAAGATCTAGAGCAAGAAATTCCCCCTTTTCTGCAATAAAAATAATAAAGGTTACTTACTATTACAGTAATATAAAGCATATCCTGAAGATATATGTAAGGTAAGTGCTTGGGAAAATGAATGTACTTTATTAATCTTTATTAAACTGTTGCCAGTAGTTAAAGGACTAGGAAGGGTAAATTCTTTGGCTCTGTACCAGATGCTGCAATGAAAATAAGGAATTTTGTAGAGCTTGAAGTGAATAATTGTGATTATATTGGGAATGCCGTCCTATTGAAAAATCAACAGACCTACCCAAATGCTTCAACTTGGACACATGGTTAAATGTCTTCTTGAATTGGGCACTAGTGTGGAGTGTAGAAGTGGGAAGATGTTCTCTCCTGGAACTCGACGCAAGCTGACATAGTCCAAAAGAGGATGTAGGAGAAATTGCTTGTGTAATAATTTGACATTCAGCATTTAATTGTATATATTTACTTTCCCCCTTGCTTTCATTTATTCTTCTTTCCCTTTCTTAGCTCCATTGTTTTGAAACTACCTCTTTTTACTGTATATTTTAGAAATGCCCATCTGTCTGTCCATCTGTCTGAGAGTTCATTTGTCTAGAATGCCTAAACAGTAAGAGCTAGGACCAACACGTGGCATGCAGCTTCCTCTTATCATAACTTAAGGCAAGGTCAGGGTTTGGTTGTGCCAGGATAATGGGATGTGTGTGGAATTTGATTGTTTCTCATAAAATGGAAAGGGAGGGGTCTGAGAGGAGGGACAGTTATAGTGTAGAATGATGACAGGAAAGCAGCAAGGGGCCAGAGATGGGGACTGGGACAGCTGCAACCTCATTGGTCCAGTGGAGGCAGGAGTGGAGAAAAGGACAGCAATATACTATATATTTCAAAGAGTTTGCCTGTGTGTCTGTCTGTCCCCCAGCTGGGGGACATGCATCCCTCCCCTGGCTGTGCCCATTGAAGAGCCATGGACAGACACTTCTCACCTGGTCCCAAGCTGCTGTGGTGAGAGAGGGCTGGGGCAGTGGCATATTGAACCCCTCATCCCCAGCCCCACTCCAGCACAATGATTTAAATGAAGAAAAACAAAACTTATTTGAGTTAAGGACCAGAGCAAGGCTGGATAAATCTTCTAGTAAGCCATATTGGGTATGTCTCCTCTGCAGCTGGCAGCCTGCCTCCCGGCTCAGGCAGACGGGTCCCCTGCTAGGGGGCTCAAGCTAGCTCACTAACAATAACAGTGTGCAGTGAAGACTGCAGTGAAGACTTTCACGCTCACCTGACCCGCTTGGTGTCTGAGCCAAGAATGGTAATAGGGCACTTTTTTGAAAATTTAAGGAAGTGTCAAGTACTTAGAGCACATGTCCGGAAACCAGGAGTTGAAGGGTCCCTTTCCAGCAGTCTAAAGTACTTCCAGATCTCTGGTTGAAGAGTAAACGTTATGGTGGGGTAAAAACCATGGTCACCAGCCAGTAGATTGGGATCTACCAGTAGATCTGGGAGCCTCTGACAGATGATCCTGACTGGTTTGGCCAGGAAGCTATCAAGTGCTGGCACTTCAGTTGCCCCTCCACCCACTGTCCTGCTGCTCCTGTCCTCTGCCTTGGAGCTGCTCCTTGGAAGCCTCCTGTTTGCTGTGCAGAGTGTGGGAGGGAGAAGTGGGGTGCCGATGTCAGGGTATCCCTCCCCCCACACTTCTGTACCCTGTCTCCACACAGAGAGAAGGGGATGGAGGGAGCTTGACAATGCAAATCTCTGTCACACACACTGTTTGTGCTTCTATCATTCTCACAAACACACACTCTCCTTCCCGCTCATTCTTGACCCAATGCGAACATGGGGGGTTGTTACTACTTTCACTGCTTTCGCTCATCTCCTGACCCAATGCGTACATGGGGGGTTGTTACTACTTTCACTGCTTGCAAAGTGGATTCTTTTTTGTTTTTGACTGGACTGTGCATTTCATAACTTCCATTTCTTTCTTATGCTTAAATTTAATCTTTGAGTTCTAAAATGCCTAACCTGTCATGTCTGGAGTAATGAACCCTGTGGTTAGTTGTGTTCCTAGAGGGGGCTGGCATGTCCCTGCAGCCCCTGAGAAAGTCAGAGCAGGGGTTCTCCCCAGGGTGTCCTTGCCTGCAGGCACCACTTCTGCAGCTCCCATTGATTGATACTGGAGAAGTGTAGTCAGAGGAGGCTATGGGGATGCACATGGAGCCATTGCTGTACATGCCAGCTGCTTTTGGGGGTGGAGCAGGGGCAGGAGTGGGGCTGCCTTGGCTCTACTGCTCCATCCCAAGGGCAGCTGTCCAGCTGCTTCCAGGGTTAGCAGGACTTGAACCCACCACTCTGTCTTTCTCAAGCAACTGCCCTAGTCCATAGTCCACTCCAGAGCCCACCCTACCTTATTTCCTTCAGAAGGTCCCTTATCTTGTGTCTGGTCACTCCCGGGGTGGGTGGAGGGTGTGGGCTTGATGGTAGGGAGTTGGAGTGGGATCTCCAGTGAACTTGGGGATAGGCATCAGCCTCTGGAGCACAGGGTGGTGGGCTCAATCTCGCCCCCCTCCAACCACTCGGGCAATGGCTGGGCTGCCAACACCAGCTAGCTACCCTGGGGATGGACCTGGTGCCTGTATTTGGAAGGCAGGATAATGGACCTGCTGAAGGGGAGGGCGGAAGAAGGGTGCACCCTGGAGTGGCTTAGGGAATAGGGGATTTGCCTGGGGAACACAGGGTGGTGGGCTCAAGTCCAATCCACCCTAAGCTCCCCCACCCGACACAGGACAAGGGACCATCTGAAGGTACAGCGGTGGGGTGGGTTCTTGAGTGGACATGTGAAGGTACAGCGGTGGGGTGGGTTCTTGAGTGGACTAGAAACTACAGCACTTGTCTGAGGAGAGCAGGGTTGTGGGTTGGAGTCTCCACTCCCCCCACCACCAGTAGCCCTGCCCACCCTGGGAGTGACCAAACAGCCAATACAGGACCCACCAAAGGGAGGGAGATCAGGTGGGCTCCAGAGTGGCCTAGGGCATTCACCTGGAAAGCTCAGGATGGTGAGTTCAAGTCCTGGTAGCAGCCGGACAGTCACCACAGGCTGCCCTAGGGATGGACCAGGCTCTTGCACCAGGAAGGCTGGGGAGAGGACCCTGGAGTGACTAAGGGGATAGGGCATTTTCCATACACCCAAGACTAGAGCCTGTCCCCCTATGTGAGCCTGGTGAAAAGTGAATGAGATTCAGGGAGGAAGGGCAACAGATGGCAGAGCAGCAGGAAAGGAAGCCAGGCAAGGGTATTTGGGTTTGAGGTAGATCTTACATTGCACTTAAATTGAAAAAGTGATCTTGTGGTTAAAAAGGTTGGAGACCCCTGGGTTAAAATGACAAAACACTTCCCCCTAATAATCTATTTTCAGATTCTCACAAGTCTGACAAAATGGAGCACATTCCTCCTTTTTTTTAATTTGGAGATTTAAAAGTTATAGTCGGGTGTGGAAATAGTCCTCAGTGGGGACCAGTGCCAGACCAAGCCATACTTGCGCACTGGGCAGCAGGCACACGGTGCACGGCACCTGATTGACATGGTAAGGGGCACCACGCCCCTGGACGAGCAGCACATGTGCGGCCACATCCCTGGGTGTGCAGCCATGCCCCCAGGCATGCGGCGCCCCTTACCACTTCAATCCGGCGCCCCCAATAGGTTGGCACCCCAGTCAGCTGCCCAGCTAGTCCCTCTGCCTTAATCAGGCCCTGGTGGGGACCCTGTGCACAGAGGAAACTAGTTTGGATTTGGGAGTTATGAGGAGTCTGAAAATTGTTAGCCTACCTGTCAGGGTGGTTAAACACTGGAATAAGTTGCCTAGGGAGGTTGTGGAATCTCCATCTCTGGGGATATTTAAGAGCAGGTTGGACAGACATCTATCAGGATGATATAGATGGTGCTTGGTCCTGCCACAAGGGCAGGGGACTGGACTTGATGACCTCTCGAGGTCCCTTCCAGTTCTAGTGTTCTATGATTCTATGAACCTTAGTTGGTGTTTTTAGCTCAAGTCCCACCAGCATGAATCTGTGACGGGGGCGGGAGGTTTACTCCCAGCTGCAGTGTGGACATACTCATGATGAAGGAAAGAATCATCTTCCCCAATCAGCACTGCCTGCTGCGCTCTCTCACTAACAAGAACTCCCCACTGCCCAGAACCCTCACACATGAAATGTCAATAAAAATAATACTTTAACTCAGGGGTGAGGAACCTATTGGGAACTGACCCACAGAAAAGTCACTTGGGCCACACACAAATGAGAAGCAAAAACAAAACAAAAACCTCAAAAAAACCCACACCTGGCCCCTGACTGAGAAGAAGAAAGACATTTCCCACATTCCCCTCACACAGCAGAGTCTATGGGAGCCAGGGAGGCCCAGCCTAGTAGATTTTGTGTGCTCCAGCCCCATGGTAGGACAGCAGGAGGCACCTCGCAGTACTGCCACCCCAGTGCTGGGGAGCCTGAACCTCAGATATTTGCAGATGAATTTCTTAATTACTTGCTCCATTATATTCCCTGGCATGGAAGTTAAACTGACTGGCCTGTAGTTTCCCGGGCTGATTTTATTTCCCTTTTTATAGATGGGCACTATGTTTGCTCTTTTCCAGTCTTCTGGAATGTCTCCTGACTTCCATGATTTTTCAAAGATGATCATGAATGGCTCGGATGCCTCCTCTATCAGCTCCTTGAGTATTCTGGGATGCATCTCATCAGGCCCCGGTGACTTGAGGACATCTAACTCTTCTAAGCTTCAGGGGGCAGCCAAGTTAGTCTGTACAGGATAAACTTAAAAAACAATGAATCATCTGGTAGCATTTTATAGACTAACAAAACATGTAGGCTCCGTCTAGACTGGCATGATTTTGCGGAAATACTTTTAACGGAAAAGTTTTTCCGTTAAAAGTATTTCCGCAAAAGCACGTCTAGATTGGCACAGATGCTTTTGCGCAAAAAGTGCTTTTGTACAAAAGCATCCATGGCCAGTCTAGATGCGATTTTGCACAAGAAAGCCCCAATCACCATTTTAGCCATCGGGGCTTTTTTGTGCAAAACAGTTCTTCCCTGTCTACACTGTCCCTCTTGAGCAAGTATTCTTGCGCAAGAGGGCTTTTTCCCGAGTGGGAGCGCAAGAAGCACTGATTTTGTACATTACAAAGTCAGTGTTCTTACGCAAATTCAAGTGGCCAGTGTAGACAGCTGGCAAGTTTTTGCGCAAAAGTGGCTGCTTTTGCGCAAAATCTTGCCAGTCTAGACGCACCCATAGATGGTACCATGAACTTTTGTGGGCATAGCCCACTTCTTCGGATGACCAGAGTTTTGAGTTTAGGATGTTCTAAATTTAATTCTCAGACCTATGGCCTCAATCGAGATAATGGATGGCTAGAACATTATCAACCAAACAAACAATGAAAGTGCTAACAGCTCTTTGTCTGTGTAGATTCTTGTGTTAGTACCCTTCCTCTCTAATTGCTATTCTATGATCCTTATCTGCTTCTTTTAACTATCCAATTTTTAGGTCCTTATAGATTACCAGTTTTGCCTATTAGGTTTTCCCTTTGATATTTTCATACCCTTTGCTTCTTGTCTCCTGCCACCTTCCATTTTTTTCCCTTCCTCCCCTATTTATTTTGAGTCTGGACATCCTAATCTCAAAACTCTGGTCATCTGAAGAAGTGGGCTGTGCCCACAAAAGCTTGTGATACCATCTACATGTTTTGTTAGTATATAAAGTGCTACCAGACTATTTGTTGCTTTTTAAGTTTAACTTTTCTAAGCATTTTATAACTTGTATTTTTTATGTTAACTTCTAAACCTACTCCATTTCCTCTAGTATTCACTATGTTAGGCATTCCTTCATCATCAGACTTCTTTGTGAAAACCGAAACAAGGAATTCATTAAGTGCCTCTGCCATTTCCAAGTTTCCTGTTATTGTTTCTCCCTCCTCACTGAGCAGTGAGCCTACCCTGTCCTTGGTCTTCCTCTTCCTTCTAATATATTTATAGAATGTCTTGTTACCCTTTTTGTCTCTAGCTAGTTTGAACTCGTTTTGTGCCTCTGCCTTTCTAATCTTGCCCATGCATACCTGTGGTGTTTGCTTGTATTCATCCTTTGTAATGTGACTTTTTATAAAACTCCTTTTTTATTTTTAGATCATATAAGATATCCTGGTTGATCCAAGGTGGTCTCCTCCCATGCTTTCTATCTTTCCTAGGGAGTGGAAAAGCTTGCTTTTGGGCCCTTAATAATGTCTCTTTAAAAAACTGCTAACTTCCTTCAGTTGTTTTTCGTCTTGCTTCCCATGGTACCTTACCTACTGGCTCTCTGAGTTTACTAAAATCTGCCTTTCTAATAGCCATTGTCTCTATTTTGCTCTTCTCCCGTGTACCATTCCTTAGAATCACTAACTCTATGATTTCATAAACACTTTCACTCATGCTGTGTTCCACTTTCAAATTTTCAATCAGTTCCTCCCTATATGTTAAAATCAAATCTAGAACAGCTCCCTCCTTCCTCCCCCCAGTAGCTTTCTCAACCTTTTGAAATAAAAAATTGTCTCCAATGCAGTCCAAGGATGTATTGGATAATCTGTGACCTGCTGGGTTAGTTCCCCGATATATGTCTGAGTAGTTGACGTTCCCCATCGCCACCAAATCCTACCCTTAAATTAATAATGCACCAGGGTACTCACCTGACCCATCAGGAATTGACCGTACAAAAGTTGGCAGCATTTTTACAGCAGCTGTTGGGTGAGCATCTCTTTCAAGACCCCTCACCATCTCTGCTTGGAAGCGAGTCATCACATCATGTAATACATCATCAGACAGACGCATGTGATAAAGGAACCGATCGACCTGAATCAAGGCATTCAGAATGTATTATTTGTGATGAGCGAATACCCTGGGGTCCTGGCCATGGATCAGGACCTATTGGGTTAAGTATTACACACACACACACACACACACACACACACACACACAATGGTCCCTGCCTTGAATAAGAGTTTACAATGTTAGCACGTAAGGTATTCTTTATTTATCTCTACCAGAAGCCACTAGAGCAGGATTCCTTACCCCGCCCCCCCGAACTTTCCCTTCCTTATCATTAGTTTTCAGTTACAAATAAAAAAGCTTACTACACACAAGCACTAATTACAAGGGGTTTGGTGCAGTATTCTGAGCACAGAGTTTAGGACCTGGAACTCCTAAATTCCTCTGCCACTGACTTTTGAATGACATTAGGCTACTCATTTCACAACTCTCTGTATACAGGGCCCCATTTTTCTTAACAGACATTTAGTTGTTGCAGATGAGAGGTCACAGTTGGGGGTAGCAGCTTTTTTAGAACATAAGAACGGTCATACTGGGTCAGACCAACTGTCCATCCAGCCCAGTATCCTGTCTGCCAACAGTGGCCAATACCAGATGCTCAGAGGGATGGAACACAACAGGGAATCCTCACGTGATCCCTCCTCTGTCACCCATCTCCACAGAAAGAGGCTCAGGACACCATTCCTACCCATCCTGGCTAATAGCCATTGATGGACCTAACCTCCATAAATCTATCTAGTTCTTTTGAGCCCTTTGGTAAAAACAAATTCTAGAGAAACAGATTTTAATGCATTGAGTGCAACAAAAGGTGTTTTCCTGTTGTCCAGAGCTACTCGCTCATTTTTTAGTCTCTCTTTTTGTTCTGGGTGTAGAGATCCACTGTTTATCACGTTCTGCAATGCCTGTCTCCAGACTGGATTGCCAGCTTGAACGATCTTTTACTTAGGCTTCCCAATTGTGTGACTCGATACCAAAGCATTTTAAGTCTTGCCTGCCAGCATCTTGAAACCTACGTTTTGGGCATCCTCTCTGTCTTTGACATCCTATAAGATGTCTTTAGGAAGCCTTCCATCTCGCAACCTACGCGCAGGACCTAACCAGTGAAGGTCCTGTGCTTGATAATAGCTGCCAGGCTGGAGATTTGTGCCCTCATTAGCACTTCTTTGTCATAATTTTATCTTGCTAGGTGATGCCTAGAATGGATCTCAGGCACCATAGGTGGAAGCTATTGAGTCTCTTTTCTTGCCTGCTATATGAGGTCCATACCTCACTGCCTGTGACAAGGTACCTGAGAATTAGCTCCATCCTCATGCAGGGCACCCTCCTCTGGTGAGGTCTCACCATCTTCACCTCTGAGCCCATCTCTCTCCCTGGAGTGGATGCACCCTTCCCAGGCACTGCCCTCTGGCTCTGCTATGCCCTATTGCCTCCCTGCTTCCAGGGGAGTAGTACTAGCCCACTATCTGTCACTCATCTCTGTAGCCCACTGCAGTCATCACTCTAACCTCTTGCTTCAGGGGCAAATCGTAGTCTCACTTGGCCACTCTTACCCTTAGCAAGTGTGGGGAGAAGGTGGGAGCCCAGGTCCACCCACTACTCTGGGCCCCACCCCAGGGCAGCCTCCCTCCGCCCTTCACTGACTTTCCTCTGCTTCCCTGAGCCACTCCCCTAGCACCTTCCCTGTCCTTGCCTCAGGACTTTGGTCTAGGAGTCCCCTAACTGCCCAGCACTGCACTCTCATGGTGCTAATGGTTCCTTCCCTGCAGGGACCTTCTCCCAGGGCTCTCTTGATTCCTCCCATCTCTCAGCTCCTTTTGTACAGGGCTTGCTTTGCTCTGATTGGCTATTCTTCAATCCGCATTCCTATTGGCTTTCTTCTGATCAACACTCCTATTGGCTTTCTGTGGCACAGACTCTCTGGGGGATTCCTTTAACACTTGCAGGGAACCTGTACAGCGCAGGTACCCAATCATACTGCCCTAAAGGAGAATGCTGACTATGCAGGCATTATAAAAATCAAGATTTTAGTCTTCATCACAAGCTTCTTGTTCTTTCATGCTCATTTTGAGAGATGACCAAAATTGGTGTCTGCCTCTCCAATACAGGCCAGTACGCAGGGTGTGTGTGAAGGGTGTGAACGCACCACCTCATTGTCTCCCAAGTAAGCATGCTCTGGCTGGCCAGGGGAAGGCAGGAGCAGCACACTGCCCAACTCTCCCTCTCTCATGCTCTGGCCAGCTGGGGGAAGGCTGGGGCTGATTTCCCCACTTACTTGGGGAACCATGGGGGGTGCATTCACATCCTTCCACATTTCCAAAGAAAGCACCCCCACACACACACAGAAATTCCTGCATACGGGCCTGCAATACATATGTCCAACTCCTCATCCAGTAACAAATTCTTAAGAGCTCCCAGGTAACAAAATGAATCCACAGTTTGGAGATGGATATTGCTGAGTGTAATGGAAGGCTGGTATTCTGTGCCTTGCCCCATGAATACTGTCTTTTTCACACTAGTGGTGAGTGAGAAAATTTTACATGCATCTTGAAGGTGATTTATGAGCTCTTGTAGATGAACTTCACTATGAGAGACAAGAGCAGTGTCATCAGCATAAAGAAATTCTCCCAGAACAACTTTTCACACCTTAATCTTTGCTTTCAGTCTAGCAAAGTAGAACAGCTTACCCTCAGATTACATAAAATAAACAGCTTCTCAGTACTTTTGAGCTATGCATTTAAAAACACAGAAGACTATTCCAAACACTGAAGGAGCTAAGACACAACATTGTTGTACTCTTCTTTTTATCTCAAAACTTCAAATTGTACTGTGTTTTGCATACTGTCATGGAAAGACTGTGTTATGCAGAGGAGCTTTGGGGGGCACCCAGGTTTTCAAAGTACTTTGTACAGAATTGACTAAGCATATCAAATGCTTTGGTCAGGTCAATGAAAACAATAAAAAGTGGTTTTCTTGTTCTCTATTTTTCTCCTGTAGTAAGCAAAGAGAGAAATAGCATCTCTCATGTAAAGCTACCTGCTCAAAATCCACATTGTGTCTCTGAGTAGACCCTTTCAGCAAGTATTTGCAGCTATATAAGCACCACTCAAGCAAACAGATTGCCAGCGATGCTGAGAATTGAAATACCTCTGTAGTGGTTACAATCTCCCTTATTGCCTTTGTTTTTGTAAAAGGTAATGATATTTGTATCATACGTGTCCTGAGGAACTTTTCCTTCTTTCCAGAATTGAAGGAGACTATCTAGATGTAATAAAAGAGCTAGTTTCTCTCTATGACAGTGCATTTCATATACAGGCAGTCCCCGGG